CTGATTCTGGGCCTTGTTTTTCGGGCCCCGCTGCCTAGGGCCCTGCAGCAGCAGAGACTCCCAGACTCCCCAGAGCTGGCGCAGGGTGTAGCTGTGCCCAAACATCCCCAGTAGGCCTGGGAGTGTCCAGGACGAGATCTGGCGCGTCCAGTGGAAGTCCTCATCCGGATCGTGGGGGGCAGCCCAAAACATGGATAGCAAGTTATCAGGGTAGGGTCGGTCCCCCGCCTTCGCCTGCTGGTTCAACTCATCAACGGAGTACCTGGCCCAGGGGAGTCCACCCACCTGGTGGTTCCTGGGATGCGTACCCTTCTCCGCCTCCGGATTCACCTTGGTGAGGTTTTTCGCCCAATCCGGGACGTGTGCCGGGCCCGGTCGTCGGACCCAGCGGCCCGCAAAGATAGCCTCTCCGACCCGTTTGCTCATCATCCAGCGCAGGACCGAGAGCTGCACCTCCGGGTCCTTGGTGTCCAGGCCCACCGGGGTGGCGGACGGCTTGTCAGGGCCCTCGGCACCTGAGCTCGTCACGCCAGAGCCCGAGGCTGGGGGGATGGTGGGCGGCCTGTCAGGGCCCTCGGCACCTGGGCGCGCCGCACCAGAGCCCCCCGCCTTTGGCATGGGGATCCCTGTCAGGTCCGGCAGATCTGACAGGAGGGCCGCCGGGAAGGGATTCCTACCCAGCGAGATGACCGCCTTGGCCTCAAGGTAGGAGTCCGTGAGGGATGTGAGGTCGTCCATACTGAAGTCCCTCCATGCCGTTGTCGGCTCGAAGACCCCAGTCTCAATGGCGACCCGGACCTCACTAGGCCACGCACTGAAGGGAGGCGCGATGGGCTCGAGCATTCTGGTTTCGAGGGAGCCCTTCGCCTGTCTGGCTTGGTGTTTCGCTTTCGCCTCCTCCGCAGTGGTCTGGGCCTGGAGGAGCTCCGGTGTGGGTCTCCCCCAGTCCGCACCCAGCTTGTCCAGCAGCTTCTCACGGAAGAGGTCCAAGTCCAGGTTCTTCAGGAGCAGGCCTCCATCACCTCCTCCGTCAATGGCCCCCCCTTGAAGTTCGTGGAGGACCGCCGCGGAGCGCTCCACCGCTTCCACCTGGTCCGCCTTCTTGGCCTCCTCCTGGGCGATGGTGGTGGCGTTGAGCCGGGTCTGAATCTTGAAGGCCTTCACCGCAGACGGGTGGAAGGCTCTGCATTCCTGGCCCTCTTCCTTGTCGCCTGGCAATGGGGGCCTCTCCCCCGGTGGGGCCGTCAGAAACTCCTCGTCCAGCTCCATGGGGCAGTTCCTGATCACCGCCCGGACCGAGGAGGGGACGAAGTCCGAGAAGCTGGCCTGGTCCGGGTTCTCGCAGGCCATCGGGTCGGTGGCCAGCTCGCTGACGTCCACCGAGGCACTGAGCTTGAGGTCGCGGGCCCGGTCCGTGTCAGGGCCTTCGGCACCCGCGGACCGGGCCGCCGTCCAGACCGCATTGCCCTGGTCATCCACCGTCAACTGCCAATGCGTGCCCGCCATCTCCAGGGTGGCCGAGTTGGTCGCCGTGTCAATGGGCTCCGTCTTCTTGCCGCACCCCATGCACTTCGTGGCGCCCTTCTTCACCCAGGGCATGGTGCAGCAGGGGCAGATCCAGGATGTGGGCACCTTGCCCAGGGGGCGGTTCTCCAGGCCCCCGTACCCCAAGCCAGCGCGCTTGCCAACCTGCTGTCCCGGGGTGCTGAGCCGGGCCTCATGCTCGTACTTCATCTTGGCGATGTAGAAGGCCTCCACAACGCGCTCCAGGCCCCCCTGCTTGAGTTGGGGGCCCTCAAAGCCTCGCAGGAGCCGCTGGACGTCCTTGGCCTGCAGTCGGCGGAGCCTAGTGGCCGTGGTCGCATCGAAGCAAGGGAAGTCGCCCGCCATCTGGTCGTCGCTGAACTGGTAGAGGCCCTCCGAGACCTTGAGGGCCTTGGTGAACACGCTCCCCCCCGGCGGGGGGGCTGCGGGGTTCTCATCCTCCTCCGAGGACGCCTGCTCCTTGACCTTCGCCATCAGCTCCCGGCGCCTCTGCCACTTGGCGTCTGCCCGGGCATCCAGGCGGGCCTCCTCCAAGCGGGCTGCAGCCGAGGGGAACCTGGGCATCGGCAGCTCCTTCTCGTCCTTCGCCAGGAGCTCCTCCATGGGCACGTCCTCCTCCGGCGGGTTCAGGAGCTCCAGGAACGCCCCTGGGGGGCGTGTCAGGGCCTTCGGCACCTGCGCCACCCCAGGGGCTGCATCTTCCATCGGCTCATCCTCTGCCTTGCGCTTGGCCGGGATAAGGGGGGCCTGCTCCAGCTCATCTGCGCTGGAGAAGAAACGCTCGTCAGGTGCCTGAGGGACCTCAGCAGCCAAAACGGTCCATCCTTCTTCCTCCCTCTTCACGAGGTTCGCCAGGTACTTTGCCATGGAGGCCTTTGCCTTAGCCTTGGCCTCTGCTGCCGCGGCACCAGCGTAGGCGGGGGCGTACATGGCTTTGAGAGTAGGGGAAAGAAAGATTTCAAATCACAAGACAAAGGATCAAAAGGTCCACTTGAGCCAAAATGGTGGCCCAAGTGGATACTTATTAAGAGTCAAGACAAGCGACCACCTACGGTTAACGCTTTAGCCCATATTCGTCCCGCTCTTTAATTCAATTTTGAAGACGTGGGGGTTGATCAATATTCGTCCCCCCCCCCCAGTTTTTGACGGGTGCGCAACTTTTCCCGTTTAGGGAAAGTCATCTTTCATTGTTTGCCTGCTGGTCATCTCACTTAAAGGGCCTTTTGATCAACCCCCATGCCGAATGGTTCCTACAACCCCTTTGGGCCGCATGGTGAAGAAAAGCATTCCTAAGCTTCCCAGTGGCTTTGTAGCTGGGCTGCCTTAGATTTTTGAACATGCCAGAAAGTCACTCACATCCCAACCGCTGTGTCCCGCAGTGGTCCGGTTGACCGGCTGTCACCCTTGAACCCCCTACCGCCTGTTGCCCTGTAGCCACTAGCTGTGTCAAACAAGGTCCTTCGACATCAGGCAGCAAATTGTCGAAACGCTTGTTTCCAAGAAAAAACTGTGACAACACAACACCCTAGAGTGACAACACAACACCCTAGAGTGGCAGAACAGGTTTGCTTCCCGCAAGCAAGCAAGCAAAGCAAAGCAATTCAAAGCAAAGCAATTCAAAGCAAAGCAAAGCAAAGCAATTCAAAGCAAAGCAAAGCGAAGCAAAGCAAAGCAAATCAAGCCAGCAATCCATTACATTAACCAACCGACCACCAACCAACCCAACGAACCAATCAAGCAATTCAGCAAGCAATCCATCAACCAAGCAACCAAGCAACCAACCAGCGAAACGAAACAAGCACACAGCACACAAGAATATGGCAGTATGTTGAAGCTATTCACTCATACACAAGCGCTGACGTGTGCATTGCCTCACTTACCTGACCCACACTGCAGCGCCTTCAATGATCCTCGGCCAGTCTTCTCCTCCCTCTGCTGCTGAGCACTTGTGAGAGCAGTTATAATCAGCGCCAGAAATAGGCATGCCGCCACAGCCATGGCTGGATAGACCACCATCACGAGGCGGTCGTGAGGGATGGCATGCTGTTCCACGCCTGAGGCCCCGTGATTTGAAGTCCCGAGTGCCTGGGGCAGTACCTCCCTGTGGTATCCTGATGGTGTAGTTGGGGGAAAAAACAACTTTCTTTGAGGAAATGGCCTAGTTGGTTGCTTCCTAGGCACCTGCTTTGCCTGGGAGAAGGCCGCAAAAGTTGTTAAATTGAACGAAGCGTTGGCCGTAAGTGGCCAGAAAAGTAGCCGGGCCTATGAAACAGGGGGATGGATGGAATTGAACCCAGTGAGCAAAAACAACATACAGTGTTTTGCGGCGACTTGCCTCCGGATACGAAACGACGTGCTTCCACACCCCCTCCCCCTAACCCTGCTTTGCGGCCCTCTTAAGCAGCTGGCCGGCTTTAAGGGAAAGGGCTTGCAGCCGCTAGGCTCGGACGGACCTGTTGCTGAAAGCGGGAAAAGAACAGCCAGTGCAAACAACAGCAGTCCTCTGGCTTTGCCATCCGTACCAGCCATTCCCTTCCGCAATCCCACGGCCCCGCCTCCGCCTTGCTGGGCCGCAGGGCTTGTGGCCGTTCTGAAGGCCAAGGCCGGCAGCGGCAGAGTGAGGAACAGTTGCGAGGCGCGGCCCATGGCGTCGCACCGCAACGGAGCTGTACACGTAAGCTGTATTATCAGGCAATAGCTCGAGCCAGGGGATGTTTCAAGAGGTTTCCTGGAGGCTTCCCTCAAATCCCATGGAATTCTAGCAGCTCTTCTCCAGATCACAAACCGGGCAGTGCCAAATGCCAGTCGGATGTGTTTCACACACCTTGGAAAGGTGGCCTTTCGCGCCGTTGAAGCTTGGGGCAAGACTAGGGCCAACTAAGTTTAGACAAAAGCAACTAGCAGGTCAAGTTTCTGGGTCCCCTCACCGCGAAACCAAATACTCATTTCGTGAGACAGTCAAAAACCGTGCCCAGCTTTTAGGAGGCTGAATTTTACTTCGTCAAAGAACTAAACGGTCTGAATCTTGGGGGCGTACCAGGGGTTCTACCTCAATCTGGGCTCCCCATTACCCCCTTTTCGCTGACACAAGGCACCCACAAACCCACAAACCAACAGATGGCTTTGGGTCTGCAACCCACAAGCCCAAGAGCCCACAAACCAACAACCCCCCCTCTCCCACCCTTTGGCTGGTACGAGTAACCCACCAACACTTGGGTGCTGTAGATCCCCCAGCGAAACGCTTCAATTGTTGCCGGTCAAGAGGACATATGAGGGGAATCCCAAAAGTTACCATCCCTCCAACAATCATGGAAGCTGACAGGAGCGTTTTGGAAGACTCTTTTCCTTTTGGGCAACCCCTTTGTCCACTTCCATGATTGTTGGAAAGAGGGTAAGGTCTAAAGATCCACCCCAGTCGAGGTCCCCACCGCGGTTCCCCTCTGCCGGGAACCAGCCTGCACTCCCAGCGCCTCCTCCGTCGCTTCCGCCGTGGCGCGCGACTCCGCGCGCACCGTGCCGTCCTGCGATCCGCGTGCACCGGGCCCCCCGGAAAACGAAACAACCCGGCGAGACCATGGACTATCTGCGAGAGCTGGGGGCGGTGGATGGAAGTGAGCACCCGCACCGCAAAGCCCAGCTTCCCTTTGAGTGACTGGAAAGACTTGAACGACTCCTAGGGGTTGACGTCCCATTCTTTTCCACCATCGCTCTTTCCAACCGGATCCGTTTTCCCTTTCCGGAGGTGTTAGAAAGAAGGATCCCTGGAAAGAATGGGGAAGGTACCCCTAGACTGTCTGTAAAAAGGGGAGGCGAACGAGAAGGGTGTGTGTGTGACACTGAAGTACATGCAAATGACACCCCCCCAAATGGATGCCAAGCTGACGATCCTGCGCACTTGACGCCATTCTTTCAGCAGTGATAGATTCCCCATTAAAACCAACAGGGGGAAATAAAGCATATTGAGCAAACGGAAGTCTACGCGCCAACGCAACCGCAACAACTCCCACCCCATCCCGCCAGCTCGCGCTAGCTTTGCAACATTGCTGCTGTTCTCTCTCTCTAAGCTGCGTCATGCCGCGTCAGAAGAGAAAGGGTCCACGCGCCGAAACACACCTTGGACAGGAAACAGGCCAAGAGAAAGTCATGCAAGCGGCGTGCGTTCTTTGCAATGGAGGCACTCAAGTGTACTTCGTGGCCAAAGCGACCAAGATTTTTCACCTTTCAGCGTGTCTTGCAAAAGCAGGCGTGGGAACAAGCTCAAGTAGCGTACATCGTCATATCATCTTCTGAGATCGCGGCTCTTTTGGCCTCCTCTGTCTCAGCGACGACAGCTTCAATACAGGGATCGCCTCGGATCTCCTCTTCTGGCACCTGACAGAAGCCAAGAGGCCGCTAAAGGCTTGGATCCCCGTGGTTCGAACATTGGCTGCTGAAAAATTGAGCGCTGCGCCCGTACAAAAAGCGGGTGCTCTTCACATGCTTGGTCCATCCACTCGTGCAGCTCCTTCACATCCGTGGCATGGTAAAGCCTTGGAAGCATGGCATGGGTGGACAGCGTTGGCATGTTCGCACATCAGAGCCGAGCCCAGGACAAACCACCTGGACACATGAGGTACGCATACACGGAGAGCAGGCCATAGCTGATGATGCGTCTGCGAGCGTTCTTACCTTGGCCACCCGAGAATTCCCATTGAGGAACACATGCCGAACGGCCTAGAAAGCCAGCTTGCCAAGACTTGTCTAACGTCAAATGCGGCCAAACACGCAAACACAGGGTTTGACCGGCTTGTGGGGTGGGCAGTGGGGGCCTGAAGGTAAATCGAATCATGCAACTTGGCCGCGCTTGAAGTGCGGATCCGGAAAGCAGAAGAACATCTTCTCGAGCTGGCCTTTCCTTGACACAAGAAGCCATCTGGAAACATCCACTGATTGGCCCCCACGGATCGTCACACGCATGGAAGCGCTACGTGAGCTGAGCGGCCGGAAGTAGTTCGGCAGAAACTTCATGGCATTTGTTCGTATCACCTCGCAGCGATGTCTCACGTCAGAGCCTCACAGGGCCTCTGAAAAATATTCTGACGACTGTCAAACTGAGGCGCTCCGCCTCAGCACGCTGCTCTGTTCAGGACAGCTGAGTCATTTCCAGTGGTTTTTGTTCCGCCTTTCGGGGGATTCTCCACAGGGAACAGCCCCCCGGGCCACCACTTCCACATCCGCGTGCTCCTCTTTGTGTCATTCCCACTGTGGCGCCAAGGCGCGGATACGTTGTGATGCGAGGGTGCGCCCTCCGCACCTTGGCGCATGGCCTCAATTCGCTTCCCCACGTAGTTCGTCACCTGCTCCCTGATCTCTAAGCCCAGCATGAGCCTCAGGGGTCCACCCACACCCATTCATGCCAATCCATGCCCCTTCATGCAAAAGCACCAGGAATCAGCCGCCGAACCACCGTGCATGGTTCTCGTTTCGACTAAACCCATCTACCTGTCACGTCACACGTTGGCGACAAGTACCCAAGGGCGCCATGCTGCACATGGAGCGGTGCTCCCTCTTATGGCAAGGCAAGCCCATGTTCAGCAAGATGTTGGGGCCAAGGGTTGCTTATGGCTTATGGCCCATATGGCAAGGAAAGCCGGCCCATTTTCAGCCAGGCCATTGCAGCAGGGCGGCTTGTCGGGGAACTTGGGGCTGAGGGCCATCAGGAGGCCCCCGAAGCCGCAGCCCACGTCGAGGAAGCGGACTTGGTGCGGCCCCGCCTGCCAAAACGCGCGTTGCAGGACACGTGCCGCACGCGAAAGCAGACCAAGTGGCAAGTCAAAAGAAACCGATCTTCACTCACTTGGGAAACACATTGGGGAACCGATTTAGATTGAGGTGGGGCAAAGTACTCCAGTGGCTGCGGAACTACTTGCCTGGGCAATGCGGTGGCGCTGCAAACACGGGACCTCTTGTCGTGACCCAGCATGACTGGCCTTCCCACTGCATTCCGGCCGCACTGCGCTCTCAGGATACCTGAGGCATCCCATCTCCTCTTGGCCAATTTTCCCTTCGCCCAAACGCTGCAAAAGGCATGCTAAGCGTCTGGATGGGATTTTCCGAGGTGTTCAGCTGGAGGTGGTTCACACCGTCGCCAGGGAAGAAGCTTGGAAAGTGCACCGACCAGTCCACATGATCTGGTGAGGCCTTGGCATGCCCGTCAGCCAGCACGCCAGCCCTCGAAGCGACGCTGGGCCGCTGGGCCGCGGGCCGGGTAGGTATCACCCCAATCGCAGAGCGGATTGCAATGCGCCCGCTGTCGGTAGTCTCCCTTCTTAGGCTTCTCCACCTTTCCTGGCGCTGATCCGCGGTTGAGGAGCGTTTCCCGTGCCAATCCAACGCGCAACTCAGAATCCAAGTGTCGGGCGATTCATGCCAAAGCTCATCAACAACAATCAGGTGTCCATACCGATACCCCAGCTGAGCTGCTAAACTTCTCTGAACTGATTCTATTTCGCACGCAGCCAAATGCTACCCATGTCCTGGCTGAGAAGGAGCCGACGGAGTTGCCTCTGTCTCCATGGCTCCCAATGCCGTTTGGTGGACCGCAGCTAATCTTTCGATCCCAAGTGTGCTTGGCGAATCATTCGGTGGGTTTGATGTCCTATGCCTCTCCAAAAGTTTTGTGGTGCCTCGTGGTACCCTGCTCATGTTGCATCTGACGGAAAGGTAGCACATCCGACCTAGTGCAACTGCTGATGGCGGTTCCGCATCGCTGGAGAAAACCGCCGCTGCCGCAGGCGCCAATCCCCCCACACTTCACCACATGCGAAATGGGTGTGGCTCAAAATTCAGCAGCCGGGGGTACGCTCTCTTTGGTCTTTGGTTCCATTTGTGAAGGGGCCATTTTGGTACGTGTTTTTGAGCCACAGCCAACTGAACCCACGGCGACGTTTCCTCGGCCCTCGTGGACTTGGCAGACGCTGTGCTCGAGACGGTGGCGGAGGCCTGGCGAAGGCAAACTTGTGCGGCCAGACGGGAAACCCACAGCCCAGGAACAAAGGGGTCCGGCACTAGACCAGCGGGCCACGCAAAAGGCAGCCATAAGGCCGTGGCAGTGCCCTTCTGCCGCATGTACGATGAGGCAGCAGCTTGAAACGTCCTGGGCACTCCCATCTCACAAAGCAGACTCGGAGTGTAAGAATCACATGCGGCACAATGCGTTTGAAACAACTGAAATGAACAGTCGCCAACGTAGTGGGCCCAACCCATTCAATTGCGCCTTGCGCTGACTGCAAATGACGGACAATTGTTCACGCGAATTGCGGCAAATTGAAAGCAGTCGCCTCTCGGCGCTTGCATTTTTGGTCACGATCGCGACTTCAGTCGCCTGCGGATCAGTGAGTCGAAGGCAGCGAGCGGGAACATTCCTCCATTCAGCTTATCTTGCACGAACATGCAAATGATGATTGCCTTTGCAGTGGCAGTCGCATTGACAGGCTTTTTGACAGTCCTTGGCATCTTCAACCGTGCAAGCTCCAAGCTACAGCTGGAACACAGTTGGGTTGGTATGCATGTGTCTCTTGCGATCTCTCCTACTACGACGACTGATCCGTCAGGGGCCGGGCAGTACACGGGTACAGCTTGCATGATGGGTCGCGCTGAGGCCGCAACACATGCTCTGTCCAATTCTTTGTGGCTGTTGCTTGCGCAACAGTGGCAGGCGTGTCTGCCTTTCGCGTCTTCCGCGCATCGATCACAGACCACAGGTCACAACGTTGAAGTGACCAAAGTGTGTAAAGCAGCGGTTCTTCCTGCCACGTGGCTTTGCCTCCCTTGGTTTAAATAACGCACATATATACACGCACATACACACACACACCCATATATATATATATATATATATTAGTATACAGCATACGTATGTGCATTCCACCAAAGCGAGCCTGGATGGTAGCGCACGCCTCCCCTTCCAGCTTAAACTCCTGCGCGCAGTACCCAGCCCACGCGCCCGCTCGCTCGCCAAGTCCGCCTTGAGGCACGGAGCCCCCGTGGCGCATTCCTCGGCCGTTGTGCGTCGCAGCAACCGGCCGGCTTCTGGGGGCGAAGAATTGGCCCCCATAACTTGGTTGACGTTGGAAGGGGAGCAACAGTTTAAATTTCAGCAGTTAAGTGGGGACTTCCCACTAAACCACAATAAGCAAAAATGCAAAATGTTTCCCAACAACAACCATGATAAGGGGTGCCTTGACCAGTGCGTTCCCAACTGGAGAAAAAATACCCCGAACACCTGGCCCGAGAACATGTGCAGCGCGGGCGCGAAGAAACAAAAACTCCCGGGGGCCGGGCTGCACCTTCACACTCCAGGCACGAGGGATTGCTGCCGACTCGCGACTTGCAAACTAAGCCGTCCTGCCGATAGCAGCTGGCCCAATGCAAACACTGGCCATTCTGGCCCTTGCCAAGCACCCTACGCTAAAGCAGCATGCCGTGCCTCTTGCTTGGATTGATTTCATCCGCTCAGTTTGCTTAATGCGCTCGGTTCACTCGACAAATTGCCGCGGTCAAAGGCAATGTGTGCGCCATGACGGTGTCCCTTGCCTGAGCAAGAAAACGCCACTAGTCTGTGAGCATACTTGGCATGGTCATTCATGCCAGAGCCGCCGGTTGAGGCGCCGCCGGTTGAGGCGCCGCTGCCAGTCAAGGTTGTGCCGGAACGACAGAGACTTTTGCGCGCAAATGACTTCGTCCTTCTTGGGTTAACAGCGCTTGCCTTGTATTTGGAGGCTCTCTTAGGACTGAGGACGGGCCCATATGTCACACGCAACGCGGTTTCTCGGCCTGTTTCGTTACGGTTGTAATTGGCGCTGCGCAACGACTCTGGAATCGTAGCCAAGGGCTGTATTGAACCGCTGCGAGGACAAAAGATCCAGATTGATTTCCTTCCTCCGTCGCATGTTTTGCCAGATGACATGAGTTCGACCCAAGTGCAGCAAAGTCCTTGCAAACCATGGCATACTCCGCAACGTCGGTGCAGTCGTTCCCGACGCCTCGGCACTGATTGGAAATGGGTCAAAATCCTGTACCCCCGGTGAACATCCCAATCCCAACTAAAATAGACTAAAATGGGTGGTGCACCTACCAACCAAAATATTACCATTGGTTTTGACCCACAGCCAACTGACAACCTGCCGCCAAAAGCAAGCCAGGGCCCACGCCGAATTGACGAACACAGGCCTTCCTTCCGCGGTGCCAGAACTCGCCTGAGGCAAACGTGCGGCCAGCCGGTGCCGCTTGCAGCTGACGGGGCCTTGTTGGCAAAGGCAGTCACCTGAATCCACAAGGCGCAAAAGGTACACTCACCATGTGCAGGCCGCCAAACCAGTCGGGCGACCTTGAGAAAGCGTCATCTTCCTGAGCTGGAGTTTAAAAATGCGGCCGCTCTTGCGAGGAGAATAACACACCGAAACAACACAAACGCGGGACTGTTGAACTGCATCTTGTAACGGGAGCATGGGATTCATAGCCATCCACCCGCACTACATCTGCGCATACCCTTTTGAGTCTGTTCTGAGCAATGGGTTTATCAAAGCGGAATCACGGCTTGTTGCAATCTCAAAAAAAGAACACCACCAAAAACAGGCCAAAACTTGGGAAGCCCAGTGAACGAACTCCGGCCAGCCGGCACTTGCCAGAAGCCCCCACGAGATCGCCCGTGGGAAAGCCCGAGGCTCGCGCTTGAGCTCCAGCACTTGGAAGAGCGGCCCAGCGGGCGTCACCCTGACGGGCGCAACACGATGGCCCAAAGGACTTGGTGCGATAAGTCGGCAATGTGGGAATGAACCTGGGGATTCCCCAGGAAACCACAAAGGGATGGTTGAAAAGGGGCATTCCCTCATTCCCTGCTGAGTACCAGCAAGAAGATGTACGCAATACGGAAACGGGGGATAGAGGTCAAGAGTAAAACGACCGGGTTGGGACAAATGTGTGGAACAAGGCCGGGAAAAGAAGGGGGGGTACAAATAGGGTTGAGTGCTGAGACCTTAGGACCGCCGGAGTGCGCGAGTGCAAATTGAACTGAACCGCGCCCAAACCGAACCGCCCCGACCAACCTAAGGGATAAATCTACAGCAGTGGCAGAGTCCGGTACGCAAACAAAAGTAGCCAGCTTGAAAGTGGAATGGGCACCTGTCTTGGCATTGAAACAAGGGAGCAGGAAACCCAGCCATTTGAACCATTGGACGGTCCTGGGGTTTAGCATGTATTTCAATATCTTGGTTTATCCAGAGGACACTACCCATCAATCAGGTCCCCTGTGGATCAATTCCCTAGTATGGACAAAATCCTGCCTGCACCAGATTGAAACCACGGGACACCACTGTTTGTAGGTTTTTACAGGGGAGTAATACTTCCAGGGGCTGTATGAGCTCAGATGCCCAGAGGATTCCCATGGAGAAAAAAACAAACAAAAACGAATTGGCATCTCTTATTTTTTGTTGGTTGACTTTCAAGGGGGAACCCTTCCCCCAAAAAAAGGGAGCCGTCCACCTGCATAGCAGGGGGACCTCGCCGGCTGAGGCTGCCGCTCATGGCCAAACGGCTCGATGGGCAGAACCGGGTTGCCTCGCGCAGAAGCGAGCTGCCCCATGCCGTCAATCCATCAGCCCCCCTCCCACCGGTTGTCCAGCTTCCATTTGGTTAAGACCGCGGGAAAACATACAAATATGTCCAGTAGTGATAGATTCCCTTTAGAACCAACAGGGGAAACTAGAAACATATTGAGCAAATGGAAGCCAGCGCTTTGGCAGCTGCAAGTGCCCAAGCTCCGCCATTCGCGCATTCCGGCAGGTCCTTGTTGGCTACATGCCCGCTGACACCCAGGCGGCCGGGTTCACCGCACGCCTCGCAGCAGGCCACTGGCATGGGGCAGCGCCAGCAGCAGCGCCCATGCCATCAGCGGGCGGCTTCGTTGGGATGGAAAGGGGCGGCGAAGTCGCCTCACCAGCTGCAAGCCCCACGGCAGGCAAGTGATCCGCTCCAGTGACACCCTGAGCTGTCAACTCAAATTGCGACACCGCAAGTGAGAGAAGGCGGAAGAGGCCTTTCCGCTTTTCGAACAGCCGTGCACGCACCGAGGCGCATGGGGCGGAGGTCCGATTCAGAGCCCGAGCTCACGACTAGCGAACCCAGGTCCGGCCCGTTCGCCAGGGACCCGTCTTCAAATGGAACAGGACGAGCAAATGCTCGTCTTCACAGCCGAAACAAGGGACGGGAACACCTCATCCTTCAAACGGCAGCGAGCAAAATTTCTGACTTCCGCGGAGGAAAGAAAGCGTCCAGCGACTTTGGTGGACTTTGTGTTGTTTGGGCGATGTTTTGTGACCCGGTGGGACATGTCCGCGGAAATCAAGACACCTCGCTATGGGCAAGACAGCGAGACTTCAGAAAGCCTGCCTTGACCCCAGGGACAAACCCGCAGTGCAGTGGCAAGTGCTAGCCTCCCTCGACAGCCTTGCACACCTCCCTACCTCACGAGTAAGGGAACGGGCTGTCCAAAAGCAAACTGCAAGGTCAGGCCTTGGTGCCAGTCTCCATTCACAACTCTGGCACAGGGTTCTTGCGCAAACTGGGTAGTTCCAAAAATTGAAAAATGAGTAAGCTAAACACCATCCCCAAGAGGTCCCTTATCTTGGGAGTCTACCCAACTCAATCCAGGACTTAGCCGCCACGACATCATGACACTCCCGTACCATGCTCAAATCTGGGGCAAGCGCCTGGGGGAACATGGGGATGTGCGTTCCACCAATTCCTTCCACCACAGCCGCGTTACGCACCGCTTCGTGTTTGAGGTACATGTCCTGCACAAGCTGGGAAGACCCAAAGCCGTCCATCGAAAGCGGGTGACACGGGAATCCACGTCCTCCACCACAATAGCTCGGAAGAACACGACCCAGAAAGCTAGGGAGATCACGTTCCACACAGCATTCTCCACTGCCTGACCCAAACGCGCCAGAGCTCAGTGGAATGCTCAGCAAGTCTGGGACTTGTGCAACAAACGCAAGCAAATGCTATGAGGGCTGACGGCTGACAGCTCTTGAGGTCATGCCACAATGGCCTTCCAAGATTGATTTTGCTCATCCATAACTTCAGTTGGGCGCTTCTCCTGAGTCGCGAGAGGAAACTTGCCCGGCACCCTGCTTGGACAACTAAGGCATGAGGACCAGGCGGGGCTGGTGGGCAATGCTCCCGCAGCCGGCTTGCTTCGTTTTCCTCGCGCTCCGGCGGGATGGAAAGTGTGGCGGTTGCTGGACCCTATGGCTGGCAGCACTAAGAGAGAAGAAAATCGCAAAATCGACCAGGCGCCAAGGCAAAAGGTTTGAACCCCGGGCGTGGCATGCGCTGGCGCGCAGCGGGAGACACGCCCGTGGAGCAGCCCACGCCTTGGTCACGCTGCGGTCCCAGAAACGTGGACGTCAAGCGTACCTGGTGCAAGCCGCAGGCCTTGAGGGGGACGATCAGCTTACTTCACTTGCATTTTGGCCAATGGCCATGAGTTGCCCTCCCGCGGCCCTCGAGTGCTAGGTGTCTTGAAGCAAACTTGCAGCAGCCCTGCGCACAGCTAACCCCCAGGCACAGAGCATTGATGAGCAAGTAGGAAGATAATGCATGCCATGAGCACCGCCCGCATCACCTGAGTGCCACGGACATGCTGCTTCCGACTAACGCTGCGCAAGCGAAGACACATGCAAACAACAAACCGCTCCAGAGAGTACGACGGCAACCAGCGTCGGTCGATTTATTTTCACCGCACTGCCTCAAGTGGGTGGGATCGTACCTGTTGGTCGATCTGTTTCAATCTCTGGAGTCGGTGTGCGTGTCTCAGACACCACGTAAGATAAAAGGTAAACAGTGTGCAAACCAAAATGTTGTACAGCAGAGTTTCGAAGACGTTCTCCCGTCTCTCCTCGATGCCCGACTGAGGGCATGCAGTGAAGGCTGGTGAGGTGGGTGGAAAGAAAAATTTGGCTAATTTCAAAATGGCGAACAATGAATCAAGCATAAGGCAAAAGGTTCGATCTGAAGTGTGATTCAAATGCCTTCCGCTATCGGTTGTTACTTTTAACACAAGTGTTAACCGCAACAACAAACCGCTCCAGAGAGTACGACGGCAACCAGCGTCGGTCGATTTATTTTCACCGCACTGCCTCAAGTGGGTGGGATCGTACCTGTTGGTCGATCTGTTTCAATCTCTGGAGTCGGTGTGCGTGTCTCTCAGACACCACTGACTCGAAAGTAAAGTACAACAAAATAAAAGGTAAGCAAATGCAAGTGCATGCAAACCCAAAATGTTGTACAGCAGAGTTTCGAAGAGGGAGTGGACGTTCTCCCGTCGTAGGTCAACTCCCGTCGAAGGTGAAGCCGAAGGCGAACGACCTAGACAAAAGGCACGTTGAAGGCATCCTTACATCGATCAAGTCTCCTTACTGTGGACAAGATTCTCACGGGACGTGGAAGTCAAGTCGGGTTCAGGAGGAATGATTCCTGTGGAACTGTTGGAGTTCCTTTATGTCGTCAAATCCGACGGCATGGGCGAACTCAATATCGCCAATGATTTTGCACGTCCGTTTATGTAGAGCGTGCATGGGGGGTTCCAGAATCTGCCAGTGGTGCTTCGAGGCAAGGGACATGTCATGTCGACTGAAGGGGTCGGCTATATTAGCATGTGTGGGCACACGGGCAATATGCAACTGCAATTGCTGTCGGTTGTGCCATGTCCAATGTGCACCGAGCAGGCAGTTTAGTGGTTGGTGTTTCCCAACTCCCCGTCTGATGGCGTGTTTGGCCGCTTCGTTGTCGCACAACTGGAGGTATGTGTCAGTGATCCATGGTCGAAAGATCACAGGAGCGATCAACGCGGCCCATGCCTCGAGGAAATAAATGGCGTTGGTGCCAGTACTCACTTGTTGGAGTAAGTTAGGGGGTAGTGCGCCCGAGACCACGCGGGTCCTTTGTGCCTGTGGGTTGAACAGCACCGCTGCCCATCCGTTGTCGTGCGACCAATCGGGTGGCAGACAATCCTGATCCCCTGCGTCCTTGACACGCCAGACCGTCTCGCCCTGCCGGCAGAACGCGTCGGTGTATATGATTGAAAGGTCTCTGGGCCTGGTGGACAGTGGGACGCTGCGGGGTGAGCTATGTTGCAGGATATTCAGGAGGCACAGAATGGCAGCTCGAGTTGGTTTGTCGATCCGGTCGGAAGTGCTGTGTGCTTTGTGGTATAGGGCGGCTAACGCCGATCGCCCTACTCGACCGAACAGGTGTCCGGTGACAAAGTTGCACTTGCCGGCAGTGCGTCGGGCGGTGTCGTTCGACATACCTCCCTGTTCGAGACACTGAGACAGGGTGTGTGACAGTGTACGGACTCGGTCTGGGCACGGTCGAAGGGTTGCGTGTGTTGCCGACAGGTCGACATAAACCCCTTGTATTTTGTGAGAGGGCGCCGGTGGTTGTTCCTTGGATGTCTTCATATGAAATCCAAGTAGTGAGTTGAGCTTGCTGAATGAGGAGAAGGAACTGGTCGCGATGTGACTGGGTTGTATGGCCCCGTAGTCGTCAACGTAGTGCAGGGCAGGTGTGAGTGTTAGTACGCGGGCGAGTGCTGTGAGTGCATCGCCGAAGCGGTTGTAGCCCCAGACGCTGGCAGCGGAGCCGAACAGGAGCACGTGGTGGTGCCAGAGAGTTGGGCCGTCGGGTGTGATGAGTAGCACGTATGCTACCTCCGGTTGTGCGAGGGGCAGTTGACGGTAGGCGCCGTCGTGGTCGTGTCCCCACACATGTAGCGGGTGTGCGTCGTCGTGATATTGTCTCGCACATTGGATGTAGTGGTCGGGTGTGTGATGGTAGGGTTGATCGTGCATAGAGCACGTCTGGTTGTGGCCGCTGCGGCGCCAGTCTTCTCCTCTCCGGACTTTGGGTTTTCCGTCCGATCCGGTCTGTTGTATGCTGAATGCGACTGCCACAATGGGATCGCGATGTGGGATAGGAAGGAGCCGGCTGGTGTGGGGGAAAAGGTGCAGGGGTACTGTGCGAGAGGTCCAATGAGTCGGTGCCTCGAAGGGGCCGGCCATACGTCCCTGGGCCACTTCCCCCGCGATTTCGGTGGCCATAAGAGTCCAGTGGTCGTCGATCTTGTGTTGTTGTAATTTGCGCTGGATGTAGGCTTTGTTGAATGACCTGAGTTCTGCAAGGTCACATGGGTCCAGGTATTTGTGGTCGTGGCGAATGTGCCAATTGACTCCGGGTCGCAGAGGCCCCAGGAGGTCGAAGCCTAGAGAGAGTTCCTCGTGCAGGAGTTGTGCCTGTGGGTAGTTAAGCAAATGTAGCAAGTGTGTCATGAGTGGTACCTGAGTGATCATCTTCGGTTGTCGATAGGCTCGCTGGCAGTGTGGGGGCAGCTGTTCGAACCATGCAAGTGTATCTGTAGTCAGGTCATCGCGAAGGTCCGCGATGTCGAGTAACACGTTGTGCTGTAGTTGTGGCAGTTGTGGTATGGTCCTTTGCATTGCGATGGCCCACAAAATGGTCGGGTCGCAGTGCTGGGGCTGTTGCAGCGAGGTAGCGTGGTGTTTGGCCCAGGTCAAGTGGCCCTGCCAGTCGTTCTGTGGCATATGTAGCGTTTCCGATGCTCTCGGAGGTGGTCCCCATGGTCGCGGGTTGTGAAGCCAGAGGTCGACCATCATTCCGAGGGATCCGCGACGTACCCGCTGCGTGGGCGGGGGAATTCCGAAGGCTGGCTGTAGTAGCAAAAGGAATAGGATCCACATGGCTGTGGGCACATGCCAGGAGTTTCCCAGCATGGTGTTCCTGGTCCGGTCGGTGTTGTGTGGTCCCGTCCAGCCGCGCGGGAATCCCATCATTGCTTCGCGGTGCTCGGGTGTTGCGACTTGCCAGTCGTGTCCGTGTTTCCGGACCAGGTATTTCTGTTGGTATTGCCACGGGGCGAATTGTTTGTGGTCGGCTTGCCACCGTTGCCATGTGTCGTCTGGTAGTTGTTGGCTGCGTGGTGGTGGGCGGCCTTCGTCCGTACTGGCCTGGGTGGTAAGGCAGTGGAAGAGTTGTCCGTGTGTTAGGACACTCGGCGGGTCGAAGTCCCGGATGTGACAGTCTGGTTGTAGTTCGGCTGCAATGGGATTGAAGAGCACCGGTGGGAACAGCTGAGTGTCGAGGGAGAGTTGCCAAGGTGTATGCCTGCTCAATGTGGCAGGCAAGGATTCCCAATCGACCGAGGCCCACCAGATTCTGGGACGAGAGATGATTTGGCCGTCGGCCGCGTCGATCAGGACTGGGCGCAGGCCCATGGAGTGGGACAGCTGGTCGAAGTCGTCGCGTACCTCGGGGTGAGGCACGACATTCTCTAGCAGGGTGAGCGATTGATGTGGCCATCTGTTCTGAATGTCGTCGCGGATGGAGAGTGCGGTGTCGAAGAGGCTGCCCTGTGAGCCGGCCCGGCCCGGTTGGTGTTGTTTAATGTTGGAGTAGTCCTTGCACGGTGGGCCACCGGTGAAGAGGATAATGTGTCTCTCGTGATTGGGTATGTCCTGGATGATCGCAGCCAGTTGTTCGATGTCAAAATCTTCTACGGCGCCCATGTGCGTCGTGGGGAAGAGTGAATGAGGTAGCTGATTGCAGGACTGATCGGTTTCCCACCGGAAACAGTGGGAGACGTTGGCGCCCAGTTGGTGCAGGGCAAGTGACACTGTGCCGATCCCGTCGAAAACTGAGATCAGGATAATGGGCGTGTGTTGTATGAGTTGTCTGGTAAGATGGAGGCAACGCGCCGGGTCGGCTCCAGGGGACTGGTCCCCTGGGCCGTGCTGTCCCTAACGCGCCTTGTTCTTCCCGTGGGATTTGGTGCCTTTCTTGCCTTTCCCGGACCCCTTCTTTCCTTTGGGTGTGTCGCCCTTGAACGAGGGTCCTGGGGTTGTAGGCATCGAGGGGATGGCGGTTGGCGAATTGGGTTGGTCCCCAGGTCGCGTATGGCTGGTTGTTGTATGGGTACGAAGTGGTCTGGTACCCTTTGTTGCCCCAGGTGTGCTTGCCTCTGCCCTTGGGTTGTCCGATACTGGTTACTGTTGTTCTGTGGACGTCGGGTCTCTGTCCGTGGTTGTTTCTTGGCTGGTTGCGAAAGGATGTCGTTCATCGTGGTCGTGTCGGCCAGTAGTTCCTTGGTAGCTTTGCTGAAGGTGGCCCCCGACCGCATCTTCATGGCCAGTTGCCATGTGAAGGTTTCCCAGGAGTCTTTGACTTGGAGCAAGCGCTGCTGGTGTTGACGGGTGATGCGGCAGAATTTGTCAATGAATTCGTTGATGTCGGTTTCGTCCCCGATCTGGATGAAGGTCCATGCCCATCGGATGGCCTCCAACCCGTCGAGAATCATCATCAGGTTCTGTGGGTCCCAGTCTCTGGGTGTGGTTTCGACCAGCGTGTTGTTGGAATCGAGCGTGAGGGTCCGTTCGCTCTTACGGTCCTTTGCTGAATTGTTGATTGTGCCCATGGCTGTGAATGTCCGTTGGGTGAGAATCTCTCCCAACGATGGGGCGGTGTAATGCTTGCTCTTGTGATGTTCGTGCCACATGCGAGCGATGGCGCGGTCGGCTCCGAGGATGACCTCCTCTGGGAACTTGCGGTTGT